GCCTACATTTATATAGAAATTTTAGTTTGATCCTTTTATATTTTTTTATTTTAAAAAGAATTGAAAAGACAATAACAAAATAACAAAATAACAAATAACAAAATAACAGCAACATAGAAGCAAAACAAAGCAAAAACAATAAAAATGATACAGAATTTTAAGACAAAATGATAGGAACTAACTGTGGTTCTAATATTACATATAACAACTTCCTCAATGTTGCTCAGATGTCTAATATCTAATAGTTTATTGAAAGGAATAGCTATCCTTTTTTCTTTTATTTTTTACCAATTTTGCATGTTTATATATGGTAATCTGAACAACTACTTTGAAGACAAAAATATGCAGTATAACAACCATGGTTGAATTTCTACCATCTTGTTTAATGAAGCTCTGTATCATTTCTAATTTCTTTTATTGTTTTTATTCTCTTTAATTGATCAATCTTGCATTCTTACATCTGCTAATTTAGTTTGATTCTTATAATAGTATATAGAGAACTTGTAGGAAACTTCAATAACAAATAAGAAAATAACAGCAACATAGAAGCAAAACAAAGCAAAATGTTTACTTTTTTCTCGTATAATTTATATATACATATAAAAAACAAAAATTATATATATTATATACAGATGCACATATATTTATAAGTACACTTTACTAAGAAAATAGTGTCAGAGTAAATTCTCCACCTGCATACTCTCACAGTGTTTCTTCTCTTTGTGAAGGGATGGAAAATATTTTTTTCCACTTTTTGCTATTTGCCTCCACTGCTTTCTTCTCTTATTTTATCTGTACTTCCTTTTTCCTTTCTGTCTTCTAATAAATGTATTCCCCATTCCAAGAAGAATCCTTGGTGTAGTACCGATGTTCTAGAAAAAAAAGATTTAAATGATTGGTTTCAAAAGTTCATGAGACTCATATTTCTTTAGCATCATTGAATCTGTCACAGTAAACCTCTTACTTCTTCATGTAAGCATGAAGATTCATGAGGTCCTTGCTGCTCCCAGAAAGGCCTAGCACGCTTCTCCATCAGTACTACTAAAGATTTGTTACTGTAATTCTCATAGTATTTAGAAATCTATTGCTTTTTTTCCCCACCTTCTACCACAATTTCACTTACAGCAAGGATGATGGCCTAAAGTACGTTACACTCTGTTCTTAGGTTTTTGGTTGTAGAAATATCTTCACATATATTCTTTTTTGTTTGTTTGTTTTGTTTTTCTGTTTTTTTCTGGTACGGGGAATCGAACTCATGACCTCGTGCTTGCCATGCATGCGTTCACGTATATTCTGACATGGTTACCACAGTCAATATTAATATGTCCACACTCTAAGTTCACTTACTTCATCTATTTTTTTGTGGTAAGGACAGGTAAGATGCACTCTTAAAGGAAAACATCAAATATACAATATATATTTTTAACTGCAGTCACCACGGTGTGTGGTCGATCTCCAGAACTTACTGCTCTTGACTTACTGAAATGAAATAGCTTTGAATAACCTCTCTCAAATTCACTCCATGACTCCACTCATAGGAATTGCCAGTGAATTTTTTGTTTCTACACAATTGCTTCTGACAGATTTCATATAAGTGATATAATGTAATGTTCTTTTAGGGTCTACCTTCTTTATTTTAGATTAATATCCTCTAATTAGCTATTATAAACATCATAGAATTATTTCTTTACAAAGGCTAAATAATATTTCATTGTGTATGTTTTATCTTTTTTTTTGTTTTGTTTTGTTTTTTGTTTTTTCTCCGGTACCGGGAACCGAACTCAAGACCTTGGGCTTGCCAGGCAGGCGCTTTTGCCGCTGAGCTAAATCCCCAGCCCCCGTGTTTTATCTTTTAAACTAGTATTAAAACTGATGTATACACCCATGTGATATAAATTATTCTGAAATTGGCTATATACTTAGCTTTCCAGTGAGTTTTATATTTTCATATATGTTCATATTGTCATTCTCCTTTCATGTCAACTTACACAGTTATCATCCTGCCCTATGGTGATGACCTCCTAGTTTTGTTTGTCTTGAAAATTCTTTGCTTCTTTCTTAGTGAAGATCAAAGTGTTTGTAGAACTTTCTTCTTTGGAAGTGTTTTTTTTTTTTCATTTGTTTTATACTTTGAATTCTCCATCTCACTCTTCTGGTCTGCAGTGTTTCTGGTAAGAAAATGATACCTTTTCAGTGTTCCTTACTGTTTGTCTAGCTGCTTTCTAGCCTCTTACCAATCAAAGTGTTCTCACAGATATTTGGGAATTTCATTATGCTATATAATGACCTTTTTATTTAATCTAATTTGGGTTCTTTATGATTTATATACTGGATTTTCATTTCTTTCTTGATTTATTTTACTATATCTTTTAATAAGTTCCCTTTTTTTTTTCCACTTTGGTGTTGTGGAGGCTCCTAGAATGTTTAATATGGTGTAATTCATGGTGTCTCATCTGTGTCATAGGCTTTTTCTTCTACGTTTTTGACTTTTTTTTTTTTTTTTCTTTTTGGTTCTTTTGACCAATTTCAAAGAATCTGGTTTCCAGCTCACAGATATTTTCTTCTGCTTGGCTAAACCTGTTTTTAAAGCTTGCTATGGATATTTCACTTAGTTATTGTGTTCTTTATCCCCAGATTTCATGTTTGGTTTGTTTATTAAATAATTCCTATCCCTTTGTTGAAATCTTCACTAGATATATATTTTTTTTCTTATGACTTATTTATCTATTTGTTGTCTCCTGAAGCTCAGTTAAGATTCTTAATGGCAATCATTACTCAGGTTTTGTGAAGCAGTTTGGAGATTTCCATTTCTTTAAGTCACTTTCTAGTGCTTTACTGTGATCTTTCAGTAATGTGAGTTTTCTCTGATTATTCACAGTTTGTGTGTTCATATTAGTGTATATACATTTAAAATACTAAGTAGATCTCCCATTCTTTGCAGACTGGTTTTGGTAAAGAAAGACCTTAGCCCGTAAGTCTTCCCAAAGATGTTAGGTGGACTAGTTGCTGGCCTCATTAACCAGCTTCTTAGTATAGAATCTTCCAGTTGGTTGGCCTGGCATTTGGGTGTGCTTGGGGCGGGCCGGTCATCAAGATTCAGCAGGATGAACTTGTTTATGGATGTGCAAAGACAAGCCTGAAACTTATGTCAAGTCAAATAAAGGTAGCCTCTGTCCTTAGGGGCCATCATAATGCTTCAGTCCATGCTGGGATAAGCCAGGTGCCTGACAATTTATAGGGTTGGTAGCAGTTTTGAGGTTGGTCTGGAACCAAGAGTTGAGAAGAATAGTCTGTCTCTTGTGTTTACTGGGTTGTACCTAGTCCTTGGTCTGTAGTGATGCTAGGTACTCACTTCAATCTGTTTGCGCCATGAGAAGGGTATGTCTCTCCATGCTATGTTGCTCAGGATTGTGAAAGGGGTGAAATAGACTCTGTGAAATTATCTCTTCTACTGTTTTAACTGAAAATTTTTTGTTTGTTTTACACATTCTCTATACTCTTTTCCTCTATCTTCTTGAATGGATAGATCTAAGAATCGTTTCTGAGATAATTATTGGAAAATTGTCTTTCAGTATTTTGCTGATGTCACTATCCTGCCAATTATGCTGTTTCCAGCCTCAAAATCCAATAAAAAGTGGTTTATGTGTTCCCATAACTTTATTACTTTTATGTTCTTTATTTTTATAAACTGTGATTTCCATACAGTATTATATTAATGTCTGATGGATTGCTTTTATGGTAAAGGTCCTTTGGTAATAAATATTCCCTTAGTTAATCTAAAAATAATCTTTATTTTTCACTTATGTTTAAAATTCATCTTACTGAGAATATAATTCTACACTGACACCCCTTCTTTATCTTGGTACTTTAGAGCTATCACAACATTGTTCTCCCTTGTGTAGTTTCTGATGATAAATCTTATATCATACTAATATCAACTAGAATACATATAATGTCTTTTTTCTTTAGCTACCAAAAAAATTTCCTTTTAGTATTCATGCTCAGACATCACATTATGACTTAATTTTTTTTTTTTAATCATACTTAAACTTCTCGGAGCTTCCAGGATACCCTTTTTTTTTTTCTTTAAATTTGGAATATTTTTATACGTTCCCTAATATTCTCTCTACCTTCTCCTCAGTCACCCTTTGGTTACCTTCTCTTCTACTGTTTTCATAGAATGCCAGTTATATACATGTATTTATCTTTTATTCATTTTACATTCCAAAGTTCATCTGAAATAATGTTCATTTTATTTAAATTTGCCTATATTTAAATTTCTGAAAAGTATATTAATTTATATTCAGGTTTACTTAGTGCTTTTTATCGTCATCAATTCTGGCAATAATACATTTAAAATAATTCATCTATGATGCATGTGTCACATTTCTAGCATTTCCATTTTAATCTCATCATTTTGAAATTTTCTAATTTCTTTGTATCTTGATATCATGTGTTTTAATTCTGTATTTTCTTCTGCTATTGTATATCTTAAAAGATTTTTTCTTGCATTTTTATGAATTTTCCCATTTGCATATCATTTCTGGAAATTGTGTACAAAATAAGAGCTCATACTGGTAAATATGCTTGGACAAGTTGTTTCTTTTTGTGTGAATGATTGTTTGTGCTTTGATCTAGCTGATCTGTAGTTGATCTACACTTAAATTGTGCTATATAATAAGTTCTCTTTATTTGTGATACTTTATGTTCGCTAAAGTTGACCAAAATATTAAATAAATGAATACTTCCAGGATTACTTCTTTTTTATCTTTTAATGAAAATACAAGATTAGTTTCCTGAAATTTCCTGGTCACAGCATTTATAGCAATCAATTAATTAGTATTCCTGTTTAACATATTTCCTAATTTCAAGACAACTTTTTAAATATATATTGTTGATTCACTAACATTGTATTCATGGCCAGTAGCAGTATTATTCTTACCTGAAGAGAGCTAATCTAAGTCAGGCATGACATGGCTTTTCCCCACTTTAGAATGCTTGAAATACTTTAGCAGTACACATGAGGGGGGTCACTTTAGACACTAAAATCATCAAAGAAATACATTCAGATGCAAAAATGATGGTGTTGTATATAGTTTGTAAATTACACTTGCTTACAGTATAAGATCTGTTTTTTATTTTTTTTATTTTTTTTTGGTTTTTCTCCGGTACCGGGAACCGAACTCACGACCTTGCCAGGCAGGCGCTTTTGCCACTGAGCTAAATCCCCAGCCCCCAGTATAAGATCTGAAATACTAAATTTGGTCCTTTCAAGATCAAAATGGAACACGTGCATTAGGAAACTCAAATTTGTAAATTTCTAAGCCACAAATAGTGAGTATTGACTAAATCTATTTGTGTAGTGAACTTCATATTACACACTTCAATACCAGTGTGTGTAGAGTGTGGACACCTCAAATTACTCTGGTTCAGATGTTTCTTATTACCTACTATAGGCCTGAATGGTTAGATTGTCCTTCTCAGTCTTGTTTCATTCTTAAATTCAGCAGACCATCCAGAATTACGGAGGAAGTCTTTCTTTCAAATGGTGTATGCTGCTTGATTTAGTGTTCATTATAAAGTCATAGGGTTTATCAGTTGTCTGTTTTTCTGGTTTTGCCTTTGTAGATACTAGGTGCCCATGATTTAGACATAACACTTTCCTATTGTAGACATCGTAGGCTTACTGGGAGGATGAGCATTTGAATGTAGTGGAAATTAATGGATATTTCTGAAATGTAGATACATACTCACCTGTGTCTCTGATCGCTAGAAATTTTAAATGTACATGTTCACATAGACATTACTGTGTGACCCATTGAGCACCATGAAGATATGACTTCTGGAATACTAGTTCTATGGACTTTGGTGA